TCTTTCATGGGCTGACTAGATATTTTACAGACTTTTTTTTTTTTTTTTGAGGTGTATGCTTTTACTGACATTCATATCCAGAATTCTGTAATTATCCCAGACTGTCTCAGTACCCACTGAAATGTGACTCCCCAACCCTCCTCCCGTCGAGATGCCAGTCAGTAGCCTCTGTTTTCCGTCTCTCAGAGTTTGACTACTTTTGGTGTCTTGTGGAAGTGGAATTGTACATTATGCAATTCTGTATCTTTAAGGTTCATACATGTTGTAGCAGATAACAGAATTTTCTTCCTTTTTAAGGCTGAATAAAATTTCATGTACATTTTGCTTACCCATCAGGGGACACTTGGGTTGCTTCCCAGTTTTAGCGGTGGTGAATAATGCTGCTACGAACATGGGTTTAGAGATACTTATTTATAGGCCTCCCTGGTGGCGCAAGAGTTAAAGTCTCAGCCCTATGAAGCTATTGCCAGCTACTGTAGCAAGAGTTTGATCGCCAGCCAGGGAGCTGACCCACATGGTGCAGTAGAGCACTTCAGTGTCACCTGCGATGCTCCCCTCAGCAGTGTATTTCAGTGGACCTGCTTGTTCTGCTCCCTACTTTGTCTCTGGGGAATCCTCTCACACCCTGCCCCCCCCATCTCTGGCTTATACCCTAGTTCTTATATGCATAAATAAATAAAAATAATTTTAAGATATGCATAAATAAATAATATATGCATAAATAACTAAAAATAAATCTTTTTAAAAAGATTTATTTATTTATGCATACAGAACTGGGGTATAAGCCAGAGATTCTGGGGGCAGGGTGTGAGAGGATTCACCAGAGGCAGAGTTGGGAGCAGAACAGGCTAACTGACGAAGTACACTGCTGAGGTGAGCAGCGGGCAGTTCAGGAGAGGCCTGCTGTGCCATGTGGGTCACTTCCAGGGCGGGGATCGAACTTGCACAGAGGCTGCTGCGGCCAGCTTCTTACAGTGCTGTATTCTAACCTGCTGCGCCACCAGGGAGGGCCCTAAAAATAAATCTTTAAAGAAGTATCTTTTTATGTTCTGTTTACACCAAACAGAACTGTTTCCCAAAAAGCTGCATGGCGCTCCAATGAGCACTTTCCCGAATCCCTGGCTATGAGAAGCTGACCTGGGAGTCAGGGTTTGGTTCTGTTCCTCATTACCGTGAAGTCGCAGACTGGAACAAGTAACACCATCTTAGGGTCTTGGATTCCCCACATGTAAGCCTGGGGATTCCCTGCTGCCTCGCAAGTTGTGCTCTCACCTGTCTACACGTGGGACATTTGTATCCACACTTGCATCCTCAGCAATTCCTGTCTTCTCTTTGTTCCTCAGTGGAGTTAGTAGTGGGAAAGGACCCTAGTCATGAACAAACTTATCCTTCACATTCTGGGTGGGCAGCCCTGACGATCTTTGGCATACAGAAATCTATCACTTTGCTGATGCATAAATTTGGGCCTCACACGTGGTAAGGTCGATGTGTGGGCAAAGGTACTCAGTGGGCAAGTCGGGCTGGCCAGCTGCCCAGGGTCTGCCCTTCAGCGAGGCATTGTCGGCTGCCACCCGTGTAGAAATTTTTGCGAAGTGACAGAAATTTGGTGACTGCGTGTGAGAAAATGTCTCCCCAAAGAGCTGACTACTAGGGTTGGTGATGGAAGTGTTAAAAAGTGGACCAGGCTAAGTAAGCTACTGATGATTAGAATGGATTGGAAAACAGTCCTCCTGACTGCACAGGTGTGCTGCTGTGCAAACAAATTCACTGTGCACTCTCTATGGAAATAAGACAACCCTGTTGGTAAAATTTCAGGGAGTGTCTCAGCAGATGGCAGAAAATTTGCTCATTGAGAGAGAAAACTTTAGACCAGTTTGAAAAAGTGGCTCCGGAGAAAGGCAAGAGATGACACAGACATTTCCAGGAAGCAGCACATGTCACAGGTACCTGGGTGGCCACTACAGCAGCCTGAGTTCCATGTTGGGGCTGGTTTGAAATTTTTAAGATGGTTTTTCTTGGCTAAAGGTGCAGTTAATAGCAACAAGCAGGTGCACTATCTTTTTGTGGCAGATGAGATGCTAAAGCTAAAGCTAAAGCAGCCCCCAGAGACACAGGGCTGGAGTGTGTCCATCTCAGTGCCTGTGGGAGGTGATGGCTATGCTGAAGGTTACATGAAAGGACAGTCAGGCTAAAGAGCATGCAGACAGGGCCCTCCCTGGTGGTGCCACAGGTTAAAGCACAGCACTGTGGAGCCGTCGCAGCCACTGCAGCACAAGTTCGATCCCCAGGCAGAGAAGTGACCCACATAGTGTGCCAGACCTCTCTCGACCCACCCACTGCTCCCCTCAGCAGTGTACTTCGTAGATCTCCCTGTTCTGCTCCCCACTCTGTCTCTGGTGAAGCCTCTCACACCCACACCTCTGGCAATACGTGAATCTTTAAAAAAGAAAAGAGTGTGCAGACATATGTACATATGTACACACACACACACATATCAAGTTCACATGTTTCACACTTTATTCTTTTTTAAAGATTTATTTATTTATGCATACAGAACTGGGGTACAGGCCAGAAGTGTGGGGTTGGGAGGACTCACCAGAGACTGAGTGGGGAGCAGAAAAGGCAGATCTATGAAGTACACTGCTGAGGGGAGCAGTGGATGGGTTGGGAGAGGTCTGGCACACCATGTGAGTCAGCTCCCTGGCTGGGGATCAAAGTCAGGCTGCAGCAGCTGCAGATAGCTTCATAGTGCTGTGCTTTTTTTTTTTTTTAAAGATTGATTTACTTATTCATACAGAACTGGGGTACAGGCCAGAGATGC